TCACATGTACTGCATTTGGAGACCCCTTTACTGGATGATAACTCCTGATCTATCCATCCTTATAGTTGGTATAACTCAGCAGTCCTATTGGTCAGCAAATTATCTGTGCTGCCCTCTCAGATCCGCCCATGCCTCACAGGCATTAATTTATACTGAAGCCGTTTGGCTGTGTGTTTCAGATTTGCCCTTTATGTTCTTCTGACGACTCTTTGAGACAAAGTTAAAGATTATGAACCTTAGCTTGAACTGACTGGTGTCATGGCAACTAGCACTTCACCTTTTGCTGGTCTCTACCTCATACATGCTACAATATTTGTGCACATTAATAATTCATTGCAAAGTGCCAGATTTCTTTGTGCTGTCAAGCAGTGTCAAGGACAGAATATGCTGTGCTATCTCAAATGTCATCTACCAGACTGTTGAGGGCAAGAGTAATTAGAAAAGAAAACTAGTCAGGTTACTTGGGAAAATTCCTGAAAATGTGATGCTTTCTAGTCACCCAACTATAGCATTTTTCTTGCAAAATATGGAATAGAATTCATGTTGATCAAAGTTTGTTTAATAATGCGCCCCAGACATAAGGCAGGAGTTTGGAGTAATTGCTCGCCTCTATTCAGGCAGCAAAGGAAATGATTAACAGCCTTCGTGCTCAGTCACGTGTACTGGGCTCCAGCGGGAACCTGAGCACAGGCTTAAAAGAAACCCGAGTGGTCCTCATGTGGGTGCTCCTACCCCAAGCCTGCCTTTGCCCGACACAGAGCAGAGCTGAGTAAATGTTTGACACCAGCTTTAGAAACAAGCTGTCTGGGATCTCAGGCTGATTAGCGGCCCTAGATAGCTTTCTTCACCTCTCAGTTCCCACCGCGCAGCTCTTTGGTGGTTGTTGACGCTGTGAGTGGTTGTTATAGTAATTGCAGTGTTGCCTGTAATTAATGAGCCTTTCAAATAAAGAATATGGATCTTTGTCTTAAAATGTAGAAAATGCAAAGATACGTTGGATTTAATTTATACAGAAGGCCAAATTTGTCCTTGATTAGGCAAAGAAATCAAGTTTTAAACTGAACATTGACCCACCTGTGCTTTACAAAACAAAACAATCTCCCTCTCAAAAGAAACCTTCATATTACAACAAGCCAATCTGTGTCATACTTTACTCTTTAAAATTGGAATGTATTTCCCCAAATGTTTATAGCCCACAATTGGAAAAGATTTTTTTCACATAGCCATATCTGGATTGTTTGGTTTCTCTTTCTCTCTCCCTTCTTCTCTCTTCCCGCCTCCTCTCTCTCTCTCTCTCTCTCTCTCTCTCTCTCTGTCTCTCTCTCTCTCTGTCTTCTCTCTCTCTCTCTCTCTCTCTCTCTCTTGTTCTCTCTTCTCTGTCTCTCTCTCTGTCTTCTCTCTCTCTGTCTCTCTCTCTCTTTCTCTCTCTCTCTCTCTCTCTCTCTCTCTCTGTCTCTCTCTCTCTGTCTCTCTCTCTCTGTCTCTCTCTCTCTCTGTCTCTCTCTCTCTCTGTCTCTCTCTCTCTCTCTCTCTCTCTGTCTCTCTCTCTCTCTGTCTCTCTCTCTCTCTGTCTCTCTCTCTCTCTCTCTCTCTCTCTGTCCCCCTCGCCCTTTTTTGTTTCCTTTTCCTTTAAACCAGTAGCTTAACTCTTCTTCAAACAATTTGGGGGTGGGGGGAGGGTCCCACAGTGGGAAATGTGTCCCCAAATCACATTTTTTAGAATATGCAGCCATAGTACCCTCCTTATGGAGAAACTGGAACTATTTTATATAACTTAATACCACCAGATTCATTTCAGGGCAAGAAGGGGAGGGGACATTAATCAGTTTCAGAACCTTGCAACAAATTACACTTAAAGAACAGTTAGGAACTTGTTAATCTTCTGTCACCTACCTTGATGTGGTGCTGGGGATCTGGATTAGTCATTTAACACCTGCAGGCAAGACCAGAGCACGTGAATACAGGGAAGTCATTAGAGCCAACCTGCTATGATATCCGAGTTTCTAGTCAGAGCCAGCCGCTGGCTTGAGTTAGAGTGGACATGTGAGTGAGTGATTCAGATTTGTCAGGTAACCAAGTACACGCCTGGCTAACTTTTTGTATTTTTTTGTGGAGTCCGGGTTTCACAGTGTTTCCTAGGTGGTCTTGAACTCCTGGGCTCAAGTGATCCTCCTGCCTTAGCCTCCCCCAAAGCTTGGGGATTACAAGTGTGAGCCACTGTGCCCAGCTGTTTTCTAGTTTAGATTGGAATACATAAACTCCATTGCGATGTTACTTTTTTTCAGTTCTGTGATATAATAACCATGTATAAATTATAGAGCCTAAAGTTGAACCCATAATAACCTGAAGTACCAGTTTTTGACTTTTTTTAGTAACAGATCAAAATAATAATTACTGTCATAATTACTCTTTCTGTTTTTACTACTACAAAGAAATACAATCAAGCTGAAACATGTGTCTCTCTTCCTCAGCATTGTACTTGGGCAATGCAGTAATAAGGAGTGGGTTCACTTGCTGTATTAGTCTGTTCTCATACTGCCATACAGAAATTCGTGAGACTGGGTAATTTACAAAAACAAGAAGTCTAATTGGCTCATGGTTCTGCAGGCTGTACAGCAAGCATAGAGGCTTCTGCTCCATTTCTGGGGAAGCCTCAGGGAGCTTTCAATCATAGTAGAAGGCAAAGGGGGTACAGCAGTAAACACTGCGGAAGCAGGAGGAAGTGAGGGGGTGGGTGGGGGTGGGGGCTGCACACATTTTAACAACCCGATCTCGCAAGAACTCACTCATTATCACTAGAGCAGCACCAGGAAATGGTCCTGAACCATACATGAAAGATCACTCCCATGGTCCAGTTACCTCCCACCAGGCCATACCTCTGACATTGGGGATTATAGTTGACATGAGATTTGGGTAGGGGCACAGATCCAAACCGTATCACTAGTTCTCCTCCACAGTGCCTGTCTCTGTGTAGCAAAGTAATTTTCCCTTAATATTTAGAAGATTGATCTGGGTCTTCCAGCTTAGTCTGGAACAGTCAGACAAATAAGTATAAGACAATCAAAATCAAAACACTATTAAACATATAATCATGTTAAGGTGAATGGTACTGACTATACGTCTTACAGAAATATAGACAAAGTCAGGCTGACCTAGAATAATATTAGATAAAAGTTTAACACCCTAACTACCTTCAATAAAGAATTATTAGGAGACTCCAGTGACATAAAGCACTTTGAAAAGTATGAGAGACTATATAAATATGTGATGAATATTACACTTTGATTTACATAGGAAGGATCAGGGATAGATTATCAGAAGAGTTCCTGGGTCAAATGACACAGGTGAGAATAAGCATTTCATGGGTACTGATGAGGAAACTCAAACGGTATGAGTTGGGACTGGGGTGATGCATGATGACTGGGGAAGACCTTGGGATACTTCACAAAAATTCATGTGGCATCTGTATGAATAATTGATGGGAGCATAGAAAAACATCAGAATTAATGGAATTGCTGTTTTCAATCTTTACACATAAAAATTATAACAAATTAGATAGGGTCAAGGGCATTGGCTCATGCCTGTAATCCCAGCACTTTAGGAGGCCGAGATGGGAGGATCACTTGAGCCCAGGAGTTCAAGACTGGCCTGGGCAACATAGTGAGACCCCTTCTCTACAAAAAATTAAAAATTAGCTGGGCATGGTGACATGCATCTGTAGTCCCAGCTACTCGGGAGGCTGAGGCAGAAGGATCACTTGAGCCCAGGAGTTCGAGGCTATGATTATGCCGTTGCACTCCAACCTGGGCAACACTGCAAAACCCTGTCCCCCACCCCCCCAGAAAAAACCCACAAACCCAAATTAGGTTTCATGCAAAAACTCAGTGATACCTTAGCCAGTAAATCCTCTGAGAAGGAATGCAGCTCTTCCTTAAGTCTGCTCTGTAGTGTTTGGTTGTGTGGGTTTTTTTAACTTCATAAATCATGGGAAGCTGTGCTGGCAGTAGGAGATAACTCAGCAGTAGACAGATTGCTCTTCACTGCTTTCTTTTAAGAAGCAGGTTATAAAACTGTTGGGAGCCTGGTAGAGTAGTTAATAGATCATTGTAAGCAATTTGAAGTAATTTTTTTTTTTTTTTGTCTGATACAGCCTTGCATTTTGAAGACAAGCGAGCTAGAGAGAAAAGAGTTTAGTGAGTAAGAAATCAGCACCGCCTCTGATTTTGTGCCACCTCTAGCACAAGTTCTAGGGCCTCTGGGTCCCCCACCCTGGAACGTGTGCCACACTCTGCCTCACTGTGTGGCCAGTCACCTGCATCTGTGGCAGAGTCCTTGCAGTGAAACCCACGTTGGAATGTGACTGTTCAGAATGATACACGTTCTTGTCAGTGTACAGTTGGCATTATAATATGTTTTTCACAAAAATAGTTCTATAATTTACCCTGTTTTTTACATCCTAAAATACTTTGTCTCCTGCTAGTTCACTTTGGTGGTAAGCCTTGGGATTCCAGAGCACACTGCTGGAGTATCTCTTCATTGATGGGTCTGTTACTATGTAGACATCGCCATAAGGCACACATTAATACAAGGCAATGTTTGTAGTAGGCTGTGGTCCCTCCCAAACCATGAGATAGCTGCATTGAAGTGTCATGAGCAGAAACAAATCTCTGGCTTGGGAGTACTTTAAATTAGCAGATAACTGCCACTTGAAAGGTGATTAAGAACCTGCCAATGGCTCTCTTTTCATCTCTAGACACTGTCCACAAAAGCTCTTACATTACAGTCTTGTCGGTCATGACTTACAATAGGCCTGCCATGCTGATGATACAGTGCTAAGCTAACCAGACAATTAAAAGATCTTCTTGATAAACATAAAATATTTTTAAAGGAATTGGGAAATGTAACATCATGTGAATAAAAATTTGTTTTGTGATCTTGGATTGGGTTTTAGATGAAATTCATGACGTCAGTTCTAAAACTTGAATCTAACTTTGTTTCAGACCACTAAGGCTTTTCTTCCTACGATGCTGGAGATTAATCATGGTCATATTGTGACAGTTGCAAGTTCCTTGGGATTGTTCAGTACTGCCGGAGTTGAGGTTTGTCAGATATATAGCATTTCTTTCATTCAATCTGTTTATCCTGTGATAAGTACATCAGAACCTCCAGGAGGGCACCTGCTGCGCCTCCATTCATGAAAGCTGCACAAAGGCACTCTGCATGTGTGCTGCGTATAGGATGTTCCACAGGAACCCAGGGCCAGCCACCGGAAGGGAATTCTAAGTCAGGTGTGGTGGCGTGCACCTGTAGTCCTAGCTACTTGGGAGGCTGAGGTGGGAGAATCGCTTGAGCCCAGGTGTTCAAGACTGCAGTGAGCTATGATGGCACCACTGCACTTCAGCCTGGGAGACAGAGCAAGACCCTGTCTCTAAAACAAAATGAAAAAAGGGAATGGTCTTCTGCCATAAAATCTCTTACACTAGTTTGACAAAGCAGCAGCAACAAGAAAAGTATATGGGCCAGCCCTCAGTGTGTCCATTTTTATTAGCAGCTTCGCTTGACGATGGCAGGAGGCACAGGGCCAAGAATAGAACCATGGAAGGCTGCGGGAAACAGAAGAATGAGGCCAGAGGTTCACGTTCGGTTGTGGTCACCTTGCCAAAACTGAGCTATCTTGTATTAATTAGCCCATCAGATGAGGTGGTCAGGTATCCTGCATTGTAAGTTTGTAGAATTGTAGAACTGGATTTCATCAAACCCTGTTCTTCACAACATTCAGATGATAAAGCATGAGTACATATATTGTTCTGTCCTGTTTGTCCTCTGCATGCCTGTAAAACTGAAAACATCACTCCATGCAAATATGCAAAAGGACACATTATTTAAATAGCACCCATATCAAGGGATTCCATTTCTAAAGTTGGGCCATGGATAATAACTTTTTTCCTATATTGTGTGCCCTTAGGTTAAGTTCTAGTTTAAGATTACAAGGCATGGTTATCATTTTCATTTTAACTTCACCATACAAAGAAAGTCAAATCATAACAATTTATAGCCTAAGCTAGATTTGCCTTTATTCTTCTTGCATTAAACAAACTGGTTTTTCTTTCTCCTTTACTGAACAAGAGACCATTTGTAAATTTTCCAGACACTTCAAAGTGAACCTCTCTCCATTTTAACTTCAGCTTGTTAGCTTTCATAGAATCCTTTATGGTAACTTCCCCAAAGTAATATGATACTTAGTTGATGTGACAAAAAGCATTCATCTGTTTCTGCTGTTGCTTTGAAAATATTATTTCTGCACTGAACCACATCAGGTATCTGTCTTTGTTTTTGTTTTGTTTTGTTTTGTTTTTTTGAGATGGAGTCTCACTCTTATCACACAGGCTGGAGTGCAGTGGCACGATCTCGGCTAATTGCAACCTCCACTTCCCAGGTTCAAGCAATTCTCCTGCCTCAGCCTCCTGAGTAGCTGGGACTACAGGCACATGCCCACCATGCCCAGCTAATTTTTGTATTTTTATTAGAGGCGGGGTTTCACCATTTTGGCCAGGCTGGTCTCAAACTCCTGACCTCAAGTGATCCAGCCACCTTGGCCTCCCAAAGTGCTGGGATTACAGACGTGAGCCACCGCGCCCAGCCAGGTATCTCTTTTTTAAAATGATTTCCTTTTCTTCGTGTAGTCACCTGTAACCCTATGTATTAGACATCCAACCATAGTAATAGGACCAGGGAGGCTTCAGTTTGGTTGGGGATAGGGGCATATGCTTAGTATTTCTGCTTTCTCCCCTCTTTAACTCAGGATTACTGTGCCAGTAAATTTGGAGTTGTGGGTTTTCATGAATCCCTGAGCCATGAACTAAAGGCTGCTGAAAAGGATGGAATTAAAACAACTTTGGTTTGCCCTTATCTTGTAGACACTGGCATGTTCAGAGGCTGCCGAATCAGGTCAGTGAGAACCTATATTATTACTGATAAAAAGAATAATATTGGGAGAATATGTGGAATTGGACTTTCAAACATAGCCTTGTATTTTAACTATCATTTGACAATCTGTGGCTTTCATTGGTCAAGATTAAGTTTGTAAAATTGGTGTATAAGATGGCAAGGGCGAGACTGGTGCCACACTGATACTAATTTGCAGAAATTAATCCAGAATCATCAGATAGGAAATGGCTTCTCTGTAAAGAGAAAACATAGATATCCAGTCTTTTCCTTAGAAGCTCACCTTTTGGAGTTACTTGTTTCTTTAATATTGGTATTGGTAAATAGGGATTCCAGAAGAAAATTCCTTCATGTGACTTGGGTCTGGATGTGAAACAATGTCACTGTCACAGAGATTAACGTGCCTTTCTTCTGAAAAGACCATTGAATATTACACTCCAGATTTGGAAACGTCCTTTTTGCAGCAAGCGTATGTAACTAGATTCACTCTGGCAGAATGAGAAGAACCATTTAGATGTACTGAAAAATGAAATAAAATACCCACACACACAGAAAGGAGGCATGTGGGAATATAAATGTCAAGTTACATCTGACTTGAGCTCAGCAGAATAAACAAAACCGTGAATCATTAAGAGGATGCTTGTGAAGACATGCTTACTTTGAAATCTTTGCTTGGGTGAATTTGAAAGGCAAAGGAAGATAACCAAACCAGTTCCCTGTTGGTTGGGGGCCATTCTTAACGTGTACTGAACTGAACAAGCAGCAAAATAGGTGAAAGGTGATTTGAATCACTCCAAAGTCAGGGTGACTCCAAGTCTGAACTGGAAAATGGACTCCAGCTCTGCCTCTTATCCCACACACGTGTGTGTTTGTGTGAACATGTGTGTGTGTGTTGGTGGTTTTTGTTTTGTTTTGTTTTGTTTTCCTCTTATGTACTTGGGAGGCAGTTGCTGAGGGTCTTGCAGAGCTCTGTTTCCTCCAGTGTAGCATAGCAGCAGGTGCAGGGGTCCAAAGCTATGGTGGCAAAATGAAGAATGAAAGGAATAAATTGCACACCATCATTTCAACATGTAACCTAGTGAATTAAACTGAAGGTAGGATGTCTATATGCCCTTCATTTCAGGGGCCCCTAGAGAATATACCTTAGCTTTCCCTCTTCCAGCATCCTGGAAAGTAGATACCTGGCCCTCCTTTCACTTTGAAAGCTTACCCCCTCATTTTGACTACACCTAATACTAAAAGCTTGGCATCTTGCTTGGGATTAGTGTTTGCTATGCCAAACACCCTCTCCTCTTTCTATTGAAAGCAAAACATAGGAAAATAATTTGAAATACATTTTAAGGCATCTTAAAAACATGACTTTTTCATCTTATGGAAAAGCAGACCAATTTTACTTTTTTTCCCCCAACTTGTTTTCTAGACTGTGCCAGTAAAATGTGTTCATAGTAGGAAAATTTGGAAAATACAGAAAAGCACTATGAAGAAAACAAAATGTACCCAAAATCCCATCACTCAGATAACGTCACTGTTAATGTTTTGATATGTATTTCCAGTCTTTTCTATTGTGTTAATTCTTCATTTTGTTTTTGAATAAATAACTTTCAGGAAAGAAATTGAGCCTTTTCTGCCACCTCTGAAGCCTGATTACTGTGTGAAGCAGGCCATGAAGGCCATCCTCACTGACCAGCCCATGATCTGCACCCCTCGCCTCATGTACATCGTGACCTTCATGAAGAGGTAACTGGGAGGGTTCCCTCACTGACCAGGTCTCCATGCCTGCCCGATGTCTTAGTTGAAACTTCAAGTTTGCTAACAGCTGTGACTTTCCTTTTTCAGCATCCTCCCATTTGAAGCAGTTGTGTGCATGTATCGGTTCCTAGGAGCGGACAAGTGTATGTACCCCTTTATTGCTCAAAGAAAGCAAGCCACAAACAATAATGAAGCAAAAAATGGAATCTAAGAATCTTTTTGTATGGAATATTACTTCTATCAGAAGATGATCCAGATGTTTCAGTCCAATGCACATCAGCATTGCTGACATTTTATGGATTCTAAACTTGTGTTGTTTCTTTTTTTAATCAACTTTTAAAAAAAATAAAGTGTAAATTAACCGACTAGAGTACTTGGAAAATGTGATCAGTAAAAGTGAACTTAGGTTGTTGCCAACAGGGTCCTTTTAGGCAGAACCCAAAAACCAGTCAAATCTTTAGAGAAGCACTGTGTGACATCTTCAGGTTACCATTATTTTTTTAATGAGCAGGAAGTCTAGAAATGATAACTAGACTGTATATTTCATGTGTGTGATTTTTCAGAATTCCCATAGAGTTTACTCATTCTTGTTATTAAACTCCAGCCAGTTGACATCTTCGCAATTTCAAGGACTGATAGTGCTATATTTTCTCATGTTTTCTAAGTTTCCGTTTTGCAAGGCCTAGGTGGCTTTTTCATAGTGTTTGTATGTTTAGCTCTTTTGAAAAGGAATTTTGAAATCTGCATCAACTGAAGTAAATGATATCTGAGTATTACAGTAAAGGTGACCAAGTCTCTTTCTTAAAGTCACAATGACTAAAGTATTAGCTGAATTTTTTTTTTTTTTTTTTTTGAGACAGAGTCTCGCTCTGTACCAGGCTGGAGTCCAGTAGCACAAACTCGGCTCACTGCAGTCTCTGCCTCACAGGTTCAAGTGATTCTCCCTTCTCAGCCTCCTGAGTAGCTGGGGCTACAAGCACGTGCCACCATGCCCAGCTAATTTTTATATTTTTAGTAGAGATGGGGTTTCACCATGTTGGTCACGATTGTCTTCATCTCTTGACATCGTGATCCGCCCGCCTCAGCCCCACAAAGTGCTGGGATTACAGGCATGAGCCACAGCGCCCAGCCTTGAATTTTTAATTTTATCTCTGAAATACTTCATTAAGTGTCTGGAGACCTAATTATCCTAAAAGATCATCCATTTTCTACCTATGAATTTTGCTGCATACAGAAAGTGCCCTTCCCTCAGGAAGTTGCTGTGTTTCGTTTCTTTGGATGGACTCTTACCTAGAATACATAGCAGCTCTGCAAAGAAACAGTTTTTAAAAATGGGAACTTCTACATTGAAAAGTCCCCATTTTTGTGCCAACTATAATGAGTGAGAGGGAGAAATCTTATTCTATGGCATATGTATGGAAAGGTGTAAAGATTCTTTTGAAAGTTTTATTCACGTTGTAGAACAGCAAATGACATTTTTACAGTATTTTTTTGTAAAGCAAACTATTTTGTGCCTTGAATTTGGTATATGTGTATTAGTGAAACATTGTAAAAGTGAACTTCTACCTCTGTATCTAAATGTATACCATCACTTGTAAATTACTATAAACTATTATGTGATTGCCTTTTTTTTTTTTTTTTTTTTTAGAATGTCTTGTTTAAATAGCAGCCAATGTTTAAGGCTATTAAAATAAGCCAACTTTTACTAATTGGGGAGTTTTATAAATGACTGATTAAATTTAAAGAATTAACTTACATGCAACTGTGTGATTATTAGTTATCAGCAGTGTTGTAAGGAAAATTATTGTGTTCTTTTTTAATGATCATTATCCCACTTTAGGTAAAGAAAAATGTTGGAATGGTATAGTGTTGGGAAACAGACATTAACAACCTAGGGTGCCTGCACTCAAATAGCCAATGTTACCGTCCCTAGATTAGATATTGATTAAGGGCTTGTTCGTACCAAAAGTGGGGAAACAATCCATGACCTGTGTTTTAGTTTGGCTGCACCACAGATCAAATCTGCACTGTGTCTACATAGGAAAGGTCCTGCTGTGTGCTAATGTTCCCAGTGCAGGACTTGAGGAAGAGCTCTGTTGTATGTTTCCATTTCTCTTTATAAAAGATAACCAAATCTTGTGGCCTTTATAACAATGGAGGCACTGGCTGCCTCTTAATTTTCAATCATGGACCTAAATAAGTACTCTGAAGTAGTCTCAGCAGTGCCAGGTGGGGACAGATATACTCAGAGGTTATCCAGGTCTGCCTCCCAGCGAGCCTGGAGTACAACAGACCCTCCTAGAGAAATCTGTTGTAATTTAACAACCCACTTATCCACCTTAAAACTGAGGAAAGTCTTCTTTACATCTAATTTTATTCTTGTGTGTTGTAACTTAAACCTTTTTCTATTTTTGTTTATTATTGCCCTTACAAGGGTGTCTATCTCCAAGTTCAATAAACCTAATTCATTTAACTTTTTTGTAGAAGTCTTTCATTCTCATGTCCCAGCCCAGTTCAATCACTTCTGTGGCTCTTCCTTGAATGTTGTCCAAATTCTCCCTCCCATCTTTAGCTGTGGAGTTTGAAAAGGGATACAGTTAATGCAGGTTTAGAAGTATGGAATTCCTACAAGTTGCATTTCTTCATCCCAATATCATGATCTTACTAATGCTACATTGCTGATTGTGTGTGTGATTGTTTCTAAACATGAAATCTCTTCTAGACAAGTCTGCCTGTTTGTGTTGATCACTTATGTAATTGCCAAGGTTGCTTTTCTGGCTGGTTATTTATCTACACCTACTCCCACCCCTTAACATGAATGCTGACTCTGAATATATTCTCTTTTTTGTCATCTGGCCCATTCATATGGGCATTCAGGGCCACTGGACTCAAGGCTGATCCCCTAAGGAGCACCACCCCCACCTCATACTGGCACTCTCCCTTTCTCTAACCTTTCAACCAATTTAATGATAATTACATTGAGTGGGACCCAGGACTCCAAAGTTTTGAAGCCAGCAAAGATAAATTCCAACTATTGTTTCCCCCTTGATCTACCAGGTCTGCTGCTCTGTCACGAAAGATTAGCCTGACAGGATTGAGCTACGTAAAGCCAGGCTGGGTTTGTGTGTGTGTGTGTGTGTGTGGGTGTGGGTGTGGTGCATGTATGTGTTTGGTATCCTGTTTCCTTAGAAGGCTATAGCTTTCAAATTTTCTCAAAATGTTTTCCAACTGGCAGAAACAATTCTAAATTGACGTTGACCTGAATCTTGGAAATTTGCTTTTGCCTCCAACAAAGTATAAAATCAGTAGGGGTTGGGGGAACAGGGTCATTCTTTCTATGCCAAATGTATTGCCTGTGCCTGAATCAGAAGAGTAGGGAAAGCAAGGATGTAATGGTTCAGAAGTGGTGAGATGTGGGCCCTGGGCGTGCGTAGTCAGCATTTGCACACCAGGCATCTGCTAGGCCGAAGCACCCATCCCAGGGACTCAAGGAGCCTGCAGGTAACTCAAAAGTATACACATATGTATCTGTGTGCACATGCCACAAATGAAGCCTCAGAGTATGATGACATCTCATCTCAGTACAGAGAGAAAGGTGGCCTGGAAGGTTGGTGATGCAGTGGATGAATTTGGAAATGGGAGTTTGGGGATTCCAGGGAACAGAGTCTCCGGAAAGGCCCAAAGATAAAAAAAATTAGATTATACTCATTATGACTGAAGCATAGAACATGGGAAGAGAATGACGTGCATTCCCTAAGGAGATCCCATCTTGAGAATGGCCTTCATTCCAGGCTGAGGAATGGACCCTTCATTTGATAGGGAAGAGAGAAGCCCTAGAAAGTGTTTTTTAGCAGGAAAGTAACCGGAGCAGAGCTGTGAATTAATAGGATCAATGAAGCCGCTGTGAAGAATTTCAAGGCACAAGAAGCAGGGAGCAGTGAGGAGGGCAGCTATTGCAGTAGTCCACGGGGAGGTGGTAGGAATGGGCCCACAAGAGAGGGGGACAGGGAATGGAGGGAGAAACCCAGGCTGAGCAACTCTTCCCACAGGAGGTTGAACTTGCAAGGCCAGGTGACTGAAGATAGCTTATCACTCGAGATGAGCCAAGTGGTTTTAAGTGGGAAGAACAGAATTCACCAACAGTGAATCTGATTTAGAAATGTTGCATTTGAGATGCTGGGTGACAATAGCTGGCGGACAGGCGGATATTAACTCTGGTCCTCAGGAAACAGGTTGGTACTGGGATCCAGAAGTCATCTACATAGAGGCTGTGAAGTGAACAAATCTGGGAGGGGAAAGCACAGAATGAGTGGAGATCCAAGGACCCAGCTTGGGGAGTGTGGGGGAGCAGCAGCAGAAGGTGTAAAAGGTGACGGAGTAAAGTTAAGAAGGGAACTTCCTCCTCCCAAGGAGAAACCAGACTAGAAACAATTATCTTCTCTGCTTGGACCTAATCCACAGGCTGAGTCACACTTGAGAAACCTCAGTCTGGCCCAAGAAAAAGAGTCTGTGTGGCCAGCCCTGGGGCAGAGGTCCAAAAGGTGAAGGGCAGTGTTAACAGATAGCACATGGAGGCTTCGACCGTGCACTCAGGTTTCTAGTAACTGAATCCATTGTTAAAAGAACCAAAGGAAAATTTCTTCCTAAGTGAACCCTGGAAACTGTTGTTCTTTGGCGATTTTCTTTGCTTGGCCTCAGAAGCATGACTCGCTTAAATGCGCAGGCAATGTTTCATCAGAACCCTGGGGAAAAACAAAATGCATTTCCAGTATCACCAGATGGATACATGTTAGTGCAAATGAACTATTTTTATGTGCCAAAAAGATGAGACAGGACTAGCTTCTATCAGGGTGCTGAAAAAGACGGGTTCCTATCTGGTCCTTGAAGCACTAAACTCACGGCGGGCCAAGAACCTTTCAGGCAGGTCCTGGATCAAGGTGAACATGCAGTGACTCCCAGCTTTCCCAGGAAACGTCACGGCAGAGCAGTGTGGAACCACAGTCTTGCTACTGTTTATTATGACGTTTTCTGGGGATTGTAGTTCCTACATTACAATAGCTATACCAAAGAATTTACACATTTCACAACTCATCTATTATTCGGGGGAATGCATTGACAACACATAGCCACACAGGCCAGAGAATCCTGCTCATTGAGTAATTATTTCTCATTTAACTTGCTCCATTGCTGTAGAGAACTTATACAATGTCTTCCAGGAGCTGCTCACAGGCTTTTGAGCTGTGACTCTTGAAACCTTTCTTACCACTAGCAAAATGCAAGAGAATAGATTAGCAAGAAAAACAAAGCATCTTCAGCCCAGATTCTAAGTTTGAGGTTTTCCTGTCAAGGTGATTGAAACCATGCTGCAGGGAGAAATGTGTGTGCATAGCAGCTATGAAGAATGCCCCTCTCCTTGTCCATACCTCATGGGTGGTCCACCTGAATGCCACTCAGCAGGCATCCCCTCCCCCTAGGGAGGAACCCGAGCCTGGCTCCTCCACCCTAGCCCTCTGCTAGCAGGTGGCCATCTCCTGGCCAGCCCAGCTCATCGAGGGCCTGAGTGGTCCAGGAGGCTAATGAGCAGATGGGACTCCTGCCTGGACACAGGCATACTTACGTATGTTGACAGCACACTATCCGGC